GCATTTAGCATCGCCAATTATGTAGCACGGAAAAATCGATTATCATTATCATCAAAAAGTATCAAATACACAATGTTTCTGAAAGACAAATTGTGATTTGTAATGTTGCCGCTTTCGGAGCGATTATGTAGAGTAATATTTGGCCGCAAAGACTAAAAGCTGTCAAATAAAGATTTTCTATATGTATTCTTTATATGAACAACATGGCAGTATCGTCTGTTGGGGCTGAACTAGATGAGTTTGTTATAGTATAAAAAACAAGATAAACGAGTATCAGTTTTTCTACATCTTGATTATGCAGAAAACGGTAACTGATGTCCAGCTCCAGTTACTGCGAACGGTAACTGGTGAGCAGTTCCAGTTCCTAGTAACGGGAACGGGAACTGTCCCACGCCTAGTGTAGACTTCAGTAGCGCTAAAAGGCGAAACTTCCTTTTTTAAATAGGTTTTAAATGTAGAAACACAGCAGGATTTCCGGAAATGTTGCACGGAGAATGGATGATACAATCAATTAGGAAACGAGGTAACCGCGTATCAGAAGAATCGTAAACGCATTCGTTTCAAAGAATCGAAAAGTAAAAGTGTTTTGGGAACTAGAATCATCAGGAACGGAAGTGGAACAAAAGAAGATATTCAAAAGAAGAATTCCTATTTTCGCATTCAGAAGACCGAGCTTGTTTATTAACGGCTTGGTATCTGGAATTCAACGACGAAAACAGAGACTCGCTATTTTAGCCAGAAAGTTCATAAGTAAACCACCACAGCGACTAGTCAAGGTGTTTCCTCTGTTCCAGCTGGTGAGATTTATATATTACCTGCCTATAGCACACTATTCATGGCAAAATGTAAAGAAGCGGTGCGAGCTAAAATAGTGATAGAGTTGAAGACATGCGATTTTGTCTTTCGAAAGAGTTCAGAAAACACAAACTTATCGAAAAAGCCAAGTCATCCGAAATCTTTTCAACATTGATTAGGGGACGAAAGTTACAAAATTTAGACTTTTCCATAAAGACTTTATTTTTCCTTTTTAGTTTCATTACTTCTATATATTTATTTACAAAAGAATAAGGATAAAACTCCCACCTCAAGTTTTGATACCGCGCACAAAGTGGATCCCTCCTTGTTTTCCATCTGCAATGTAAGCTTCATATTTTCGTCCGTAATGTTCACCACTGTGATTAAAATCAAGAAATGTTTCAATATTCCAGTCATATTTATCGGCAAGCCACGCAAGTTCATTTTCTTTCGGATTGTCCATATAACTATTCAACAACTTTCTTTTCACAGCCAGTAGCATTTCGTTTGTTAGCGGCGTCTTTAGATGATCGAAGAAGAAACGTGAACTTTTACACGATAGACTGTCGATTATTTGAAAAAATTTCCTTGTCTGATCTAAAGTTAAGTAGTAGAGTAGTCCTTCCATAATCCAAACTGTTGGTAGAGACATCTGAAAACCATTTGATAATAATTTATCTTTCCAATTGTCACCAGTTAAATCTGACTGAATATAAACATGTTTTCCCGTATTTGTTTTTGGAATACTCGCCAGTTTTTCAAATTTATCCAAGAACATTTGTGATAGATCAATTTCGTAGATGTCCTGTAAAGGTTGTTCTTGCTGATTAATTGATGGACGCCAAGCTAATGTGTCGAGACCAGCTGCGAGTAAAACTGTTTGTGGAAGAATGCAGGGGGTTGTTGCTACATCTTCTACGGCACGCGTTCTCATTGCAATGCAGGCTATGAAGAAAAAAGAAAACGATTTACCCAAACGTCACGAGGTGACATTTTGTTGAACTTACTTATCTCTGAAACTAGAAGTGCTAAAAAGGTGATTTCACGCAGCTGGTTTAACTGGATTTTACGATATAAAAATGAGCTAACTCAAATTACGCCTTGTGATTCTAAGAAAGATGTTCTACTGCGCAACGACGTGAGGAGGAACACACAGTGGGCCGGTAGGCAGAAACTTAGCCAAAGATGCGAAGTACACTTTCTCGTGATTTGAATAGTGTTTTATATACGTCATGACTTATATCTGGATCGGCCTTTACGATTATCTCGATTGGACTACAAATTCCGATCGAGATATTTTGAATGATGAATTGCATACAGTATTTGCACAAAATTGCAAACTTTTGCCTAGGCTGAGAAATCGATTTTGAGATAAAAACTGACTTTTCTCATCCTAAACACACTTTTATCCGTACAATCTATACATATTCGGAATCAGCGTGATATACTGCATCCAGTGATGTGAATTTTAGCATCTTTTGAGCAAAACAATTTTTCGACAAAAATTTACCGTAAAGGTCTACCTCAAGGATTTTTAGAAAAATTATTTTATCATGTATATATCGTCTTCTATGAGTTTCAGGGTTATATTGAAGAAAGATTGTGGTTTGCGAGCAGTTAAAGCTGACTTCCGCCTGCTCTATATAAAAGTGCCCACTGTGATCCCCATGACTTTCCTCCGATTGTATATTGTAAAAATTTCAGGCCGATTGAACAAAATTTGAGGTGGGAGTTGTAATGTACGCCAATCTTGACCGGTAGCATTTTGCGTATTGCACTTTTGAGGAGAATGCATTCGTAGAATAACCAGACCAAAACTCATTTTAAAAGACGAGAAGTCTCATTAGAAAGAAAACACTTTTTTCTATAGAATCATCGAATCAGTTTTTTCTTCATCCTGTTAGAAACGCAAAAAATTGAAAGGCTTGAATTTTTCATTCATTCATTTCATTTTGTCTAACGTTAAAATAAATAGTAAACAGAAACGAACTAATCTAATGCAATACCACTTTCGTTATCGAGCACCTAAATGTGGCCTAAGGAAATGGAACGACGTGGAATTCAACCTCTCGAGATTTCTATAGACACGACAGGTGATCAAATCAAAAGGTAAACGGTCTAAACTTACTCGATAGTAGTTTCCATTCTTCTTCATTATAACCATACATAGGTACTTTTCCAACAACATGTTTTTCATACATATCATTTGGCACTAAACACTGG